AAAGTAAACCATTTCCCCCCCCCCCCCTAGAAAGTTTTCTGCGGGCGCCCACACGAGGTCAAGATAAAGCCCACACGAGGTCAAGATAAAGCCCACACACATATTTCAAGTATCAGTACCGTACCTGTTTTCATGTCAGAAGAAGATACAATGGGAAATGATATCAGAACATAAACAAAGAAAGTCGTATAGGACAGTTGTATAAGAAAATAGAAAGAAAAGGAGTGACACATAAATGGAAGGAATATGTTTGTTCTTGTTGATAGGGGCCGGATTATGTTTCGGTGAAGGCATATGAGGCATAAAAAGGGCATATAAGGCATTATAAGACACATAAGGCAAATATGGCTTTATTAGGCATTAAAGGCATATAACTGGGGTGGGATGTAGGAACTGAGGTGGGATGTAGGAGCTGAGGTGGGATGTAGGAACTGGGGTGGGATGTAGGAACTGAGGTGGGATGTAGGAACTGGGGTGGGATGTAGGAACTCAGGTGGGATGTAGGAACTGGGGTGGGATGTAGGAACTGAGGTGGGATGTAGGAACTGAGGTGGGATGTAGGAACTGAGGTGGGATGTAGGAACTGAGGTGGGATGTAGGAACTGGGGTGGGATGTAGGAACTGAGGTGGGATGTAGGAACTGAGGTGGGATGTAGGAACTGGGGTGGGATGTAGGAACTGAGGTGGGATGTAGGAGCTGAGGTGGTATGTAGGAACTGAGGTGGGATGTAGGAGCTGAGGTGGGATGTAGGAGCTGAGGTGGGATGTAGGAGCTGAGGTGGGATGTAGGAGCTGAGGTGGGATGTAGGAACGGGGGTTGGATGTAGGAACTGAGGTGGGGTTTATTAACTGGGGTGGGATGTAGGAACTGAGGTGGGATGTAGGAGCTGAGGTGGGATGTAGGAACTGGGGTGGGATGTAGGAACTGAGGTGGGATGTAGGAACTGGGGTGGGATGTAGGAACTGAGGTGGGATGTAGTAGCTGAGGTGGGATGTAGGAACTGGGGTGGGATGTAGGAACTGAGGTGGGATGTAGGAACTGAGGTGGGATGTAGGAGCTGAGGTG